ACTGCTCTGAACGAATGATATGTACATGTACATGTACATGTAATTTAGAATAAAACCTATCAAGGCTTTGAATTGCCTTGCTCCGAAGAACAAACTCAATTTGCCTTGCAAAGAAAACAAGAGCATCTAAGATGATCTAACCAAGATGAGGCTTGTAATATTTGGATTAACCCTTTCATTACAAATTATCTCCATGCTTGTGTACATGAATGTGAGCTGCATGCTCATGTGAAAAATATCAGAGCAATTTGCCTCAAGAAACATACCTCTATTACAGCTTGTTCACACATGATGTGAGTTGTGACTGCTTTAATACTGCTACTATTTTCTGTGTATAGTGCGCATCAAGTGGGAATTTTAGAAAAATAGTTTCATATACCTGTACATGTACTGTATATACATGTACATTCAAACCTGCTTTAGCGACCACCTGTATAGAAAGACCACTTGTCTACAGAGACCACTTGTCTACAGAGACCACTTTTTTGTTTCCCTTGAAAATGATTTCTCATTGAAACATGTACCAAAGGAACCTGTACATACATGTAAAAACCACTTGCCTATAAAGAATATGTTTCTTGTCTCCCTTGGGTGGTCTTCATAGACAGTGCAATGAAGGTTTTACCTGTGCTTGAACTCTCTCTGTTATATGACACAGAAATGGGGATGTTTTACACTTGTGTAAAATACATCATATAAAATATGTAGTGGTACACTGTCAAATGTGAACGTGCCTACTGTACATGCAATGGAATGGGAGCTCGATATCAAGCACATTAGCCCCATTTTCTGAGGGTATAGGGATGAGGCGAACTCCGTCTGGGCAAATTCCATGTTATTTTAACACACATGCAGTATGATTTTCCTTGTAATTTAAAGTCTATGAGGATTCTGTATCTCAAGGCATTGTTGATATTAGATTTTATTTTGATAGACAAGTCTGGGACATCTGTATTTCCAACACTATTTATATACAACAGTTTGCCATCACATCTAGGTGTACACTGTACATCCTACCAAGTGTGATTTCAAGAATAATCTTAAACATTTAATTTGTATTCCTCCTGCAAAATCTACTTAGAAATTATTTTTGTAAGTTTGTTGTGACACTGTAATACTGAGGATAAAGAGTTTACAGTTGATCCTGCTTTTTAGGTCCACTTTTTTTTCTTTTCAAAGGTACTACATAACTTTTTTTTTGAGATTACATGCATTGACAACAAGATACATGTATAAATGTAAGCCTACAGTTGTACTAGTCAACAAGTTAAGACATGTATGTAAAACCTAGTTAATTGAAAGTAGCATTCTTTGAATATTATTAAATGCACTTTGGAAACGAAACAAAATGTAAAATCCTCTCACTGCATTCTTGATATTTTTGCTCAATACTTTTTTTTCTTCAGCCAGTGTAGATTTAAACATTTATTTTATAAGAAGTAGTGATAGTCTGATACTAACATTAATAAAGGCACATTGAGATAAAGCAAAGAAGTACCCCTATGCGGTCCTTCTCTTCAACCCCTCCACTTTTCCAGTGGCCTGTTTTCACAAGGGAAAAAGAGGGAAGCTGAGTGTCCAATTGAAATAGAAACAACTGTAAACACGTGCAGCGTAGCATCGCAAAGCTTGGAAGACAAGCAGGTGTACTGATGCCACATTGTTCTAGTTACATAAATGACCTCTTTTGCTTTGCCCAAATCTAGTTTGTCAGCCAGTAAATTGCTTAGCAGGAACATACATAAAGTCTTGCTCTAGATATATTTAGGTATCACTTACCGGGAATAAAGTAATGTTTTACAGAGAAATGAATGTAGCAAGTCCAAAGTGTATATTAGATTAAAGTAGAAATCAAACAAGAACGGAAAGGGAAAATTTGAAAATTTACTAGACACTAATAAACAAAACAAGAGTTGAAGATAGAAACTGAGTTGTGCATCCCAATAGAAGATGATGAAAAAAGGGGTTATGTCAGTTTCATTGTAATTTGCTTTATACTGTCTTTAATTTTCTATGATTGAAATTTGGGAAAAATATGGACTTTCCCCCTATGAAATGGGGAATATAGGCTTGGATTTAACTTTAGGTGATTACGTAATAAAAGCACAGCACATGTAGAGTGTCTATACATAAATGTTTTAACGTAGTTCAAATCGGGTATCTCAAGGTGTACATTAATTTTTTATTTGACAATACAGTGGAGGCCATTGTTTTGTACAAATATATAAAATGTTTTCTTAGTTCAGTTTGCAAAGTACACCTCCCACGTTTGAATTCCATTAACCTCGTTTTAATTCCAGCTGTACTAAGTATAATTGCGGGGAATTATCACCCGTGTTTGTCTAGCACGCATTGGGTAGCGGTTTGTCATTACTCTGATGGTCGGTCGTGGTCCGAGAAAGATAATTGGGTTTTAAATTCATCCAAAGCACCCTTTATTGATTGGCAGATCTTGTGTTACTGGCCTTTAGGGAGAGTGCATGTACAGTAGCAATGGTTTGTTTGGCATGGATGTGGGACTTTAAAATACTGTATACAGTGTACATGTATATACATGTATAGTGCATCACATGTATGTTAAATGTATTTATCTGTGGCTGTGCTTACTGTGCCCAGTATATATACTAATCGATGTATCTGTTTTTACAATGCATTTGGCATACCTCTGCAGGAATCATAAATGTAGTTTACTTATGAATAAATGAGGAACAAAGATAACAAGGAGGGATTGAAACAGATAAAATGAGAGAATAAATATATAAAAATGAAGTAGACTGCATTATGTTTAGTATACATGTATACTGGCTGTTGTTATGGTGCACAGTATCTAATCAGCATACAGGTTCATCTGTTTTTGTTCATTCATCATCTACATGTATCATATCTGTGCAGGAGTCATAGATATATATTTTAATGTAAAATGACGAAAATAAATGACTAAAAGAGAGGAATCTAGGAGAGAAAGAAAATTAGAAGATAAGGGAGGTATACATGCAGGATATTTTTATAATTTGTACATGTACCTGCAGTTGCGCTTGCAGCACACAGTATCTAATCAACAATAACGTACAGTGTTTTCATGTTGCTTCTAATAAATCATTAAGACTGCCACGGCTAAATTGAGTATTTTTGAGGCTATTGATTTATTGATTGATTGATTGATCTTATTTCATTATACATGTAGGGTATAACAAATGTATAGATAATAACAAAATAAGATAATATAACACAATATTTTTGGAAGGAACACCCTGCTCAGCTGTGCCATTAAAGCACAGCTGTTTTACTAAGTGGTCATAAAATTAAAACAAACAAACAAGGAAAAATTAACATATTACAATTGGATTCATTATCGTGTAACAACAATATACCAGATATAGCTCACTCTATGACATGCACCATCCACCCAAAAGCAAACTCTTAAAAACCTACCCACACATGTAATGTAAGTACCGGTAGATGAATTGACTGAAACCTCACCCTCCAGTATACACGTAAGAAGGAAAAATTAGGAAATGCATTATGCTAATGTATTTGAAAGAGTGCATGATGGGAGGTAAGATAAAAGTACATTACAGGTGTATATGCAGTTCAACTTTAGTGGTTACATGTACAGTGGATGTATAGTACATGTATAATAAAAAGGATTTTTCATTTTATAACACTGCAAGTACATGGACATGTACATGTACATGGACATGTACATGTATGTCCATCTGAGTCTGCTCAGGAGAAAAATGCAACTGAGGATGGGAGGAGGAAGAGGACAATAGAGAGAGAGAGAGAGAGAAAGATAAATAAGGAGCTGTAGAGATGTATTATATCTACAAGGGAAAATACATAAAAAACTTATACAATAGAGGCAGAGAAAGGCAAGAAATAAAGATGGATAGACAGAGAGAAAGAATGACAAACAGACAGGGAAGGGAGGTACAAAAGGAAGGGTGGAGGGAAGATGGGAGGGAAGATGGGAGGGAGGTAGGCACAGAGAGAGAGAGAGAGAGAGAGATAGAGATGGAGAGACAGACAGACACACACACAGTCACACACACATGCAGAAGTGGGAGGGATAAATTACATTGTAGGTAATGAACATGTAGGAGGGAGAGAGATAGAGAGGTCAAGATGAAATGAAAATATCAGAGTAATTGCTCTGATTAAAAAGGCATTGAATTAGTGCAGGCAGGCAATGACAAAATGAAGTAAATTGTCTCTGAATGTAATCCTTTTTGATGAATAGATGTTATTACGAATCAGCGGTTGGCATGGTAACCAGCGGATATTATGATAACTTGTTTGTGCAGATGGTAGAAGAGTTTACGCTGACATGTGTATACTGTACACTTGGTTAAAGGTACAGATGCACAGTCTTTCCAAAAGATTATGAAGATTTATATATACCTGTACATGTACAATGTATTTTTCAGTAAAAGATTTTGAAGGTATACATATATTTGCATTTGTTATATACTAAATCACAGGAAAATAAGTTGGCCAAAATATCCTCAATATAATTCAAATATCCCTGAAAGACTTTTATAAAAACTTGATGTAGAGTTTGATATATTATGAAATTCTTAGGAAATGTGATGTTTATAGAGTATTGTAAATGCAGAAAGGCTTATGGGTGTTCATTTACATTTGTGTGCTTGTAATGACCTGAGTTTTTCTATTCTCAATTTTTGTGAGTTGAAAGAGTATTGAATAGAAGTTAGATTTACATGTGAATTATTTATCATGATCCACTATAAAAAGTCTCTATCCCTATCTCTATCTCTCCTCTCCTTTCTCTCCTTTCTCACACTTTGTCATTTATTTTTCTTTCTCTCTCTCTCTCTCTCTGTATATTCATGTTCACTGTTCATTTGTTTTTTTAATATTAAAAAAAAACACTTTCCGGTCAATGTACTGTTCTGTAAAAAATAAACCAGAGAAAACAAAAAATATGATTTAGCAATGTAAAATAATGGATGGCATATTTCTTTTCTTTTACTCCTTAGTTGGTTGGTGGCAACTTTGACCTGGAGTCTAATTTTATCATCCAGGAGCCGGACAACATTGGTCACTTAGTAGACATGCTGGAACACTGCTCGGTCACTCTTCAGGTGAGTCATGCATGCTGACCACTGTGCTTTGAGACATGGTCAAACAAGTTACGGTCATTGTCATGAAGATATGTGTATGTGTGTGAGTGTGTTTGATAGGAGGATGGGAAATTACATTATGTGTCTGGCCAACTCGGCACCTGGACAAAATATTTTTTTCAGCCACAATGGAAATATGAAGTTTGTCATCTCCTATGATATGACTTGAGTTGCCCTGCGTGGCAGAAGACATACTGTACAATGGTCACGGACATGGTACATGAAGGTCGTCAATTATATGTAATTATGTATGATGCACTGACGAGATGTGCTGAGTACTGACTAGATGTGCGGGAAGAAGTGTAGTCTATACGGTATTCCATAAGTTATAAAGAAACAGCATTTGAGCCTCACTCAATTTCTGATTTGCAACTGAAGGCATGAGACTGTTTTTAGTTCAATATTACGTTCACTTTGTCAAAGTGACATTTCTGTTTCTAGTAAAAGCTAGGATCATTGCCAGAGGCAGCATTTATCGACAGCCTGCTGACGATTTCTCATTCTTTTTTTTTTTTACAACTTAAACGCATCAACTCAGGTCAATGAATTGAATCGTAGCATTGGGCATTGCTTCCCATAACTTTGATGAAGACACGGTCTGGAAAAAATGGCTCATACTGTGTACGTCATTCAGCTCCAAATCAAAATCTGGCCGAGCTAGATGAGTTTGATTGAATGTTTGTCTCTTGTTTCATGATTCTCTTCAACCCCCCTTTCTCTCATCTTCCCGTAAGAAGGCCGAATCCAATTAGGATGCCAGGTATCGTTGTCAGCAAGATTTACGCGCCTTCCCTCTTTCCACTCGCCGAATCCGGGAAGAAAAACGGTCCAATCTTCGGATTGGCGTCGTGGTTACTTTGTGATATTTTCTGATGATAGTGGACAGTTGTGCTGAGGAGTAAGGAAAAGGTCGTGTGTGACGGGTTGTCCGTTGGTAATGAAGTCTGTCAGGTCCGCTGTGTATGACCGATTGGCCAAAGATCACTTCATCAAGGCTTTGTTTGTGCAGCTTGGTTAGGTCCTTGGAGTACACTACAGAGCTACATTGTACATGTAGTTGTGTTTCATTCAGCAATAACCCATTGCATTGTTCATGATCATTCACATACATTTGGTATATTCGACTGGGAGATTTGATAAAATGGTCAGTTTAATAATAATAACAATAATAATAATAATAATAATATGTCTTGTTTACCCAGGGTAGCCTCATCAGTATTCATACTGTTCTCCCTGAGGGCCTTGCATTCATACATGTATCATTATAAACCCTGTTTTAATTGACAAAATTTAGCAGATGACAAATTATATCAATGTCCCAACAAATTTTGATTTAATGAAGGATGCAGTGAAAACAACAAAAAGGGGAGGAAATTGAATGATAAGAATAGTAGCTACATATATCAATGATCTGGAATGAAACCACATGTAGTATTATTAGGCCTAAGTAATATCAGGCCGGAGTAATATCTATATAAATTTTGTTTTACACCTGCAACATTGCCTCCTTAGAATAGAGTTGAAGTGTTCATATTTTTCTTATTCTGCAGCAGTGTTATTTAGGTGGTAAATTTGTTTGGTATTTGGAAAATTCTTTTTGATCCTTGAAAAATTGATGTGAAAATGTGAAATGAAATAATAAATGAAAACTCTTTGTAAAAATGCTGCAGAACACCTGTTGAAATTGCATCATAAAAAACGACAGATTAAACTGTAAAGTGAAACGAAATAGAAATATGAAATTTATAAAAAGATTGCAATACAAAACACCTGCTAGAAGTATGATATTACGATTTGCTATTCTATTATTATAAATAACTACTAATGGTAGAGGCATTCACTAAGTAGATTTGTGCATGGTATTACTTCGAATCGGATGCTTGAAGCATACAATCATCAACTTCTCAGTAGACTGGAATTTTCTTAACACCTTTAATTGCCAAAGTAATTTTAGCCTCCAATAAACCCACCTGATGCCAAAACACACACTACACTAACCTCGCCTTCATCACACAAAAAGACTTATGATGTGTTCAGACTAGAAGGTTAAGCAATTTAAGTGAACACACTCTAAAACATAGCAACTGCATCAGTTTCATACAGGTACAGACAAAACAAATGATCTAAAGTGATGGGATTCTCAGTCAATGAACAAAGTGCCCAGTGGCAAGAGAACCTGCATGGGCATCTACCAGTATCTATTTGTTTAAAAAGAGAGGGGTGCTCGAACCCCCTTAGCCCCCTCCTCTCCTACAGGCTCGAGGGGTATGATCATAAAAACAGCATACATGAAATGTGTTCTCACTGCCTCTCTCATGCACATTGTTCTACTCCTACATATATATACAGTATGATGGATTTATTTGAAAGTGATAAACTATGCTGAATGAGAACATGCCCTTGTGTATAATTGCCCCAAACGCCATGAAGACTTGACCATAGAATGTAGAATGCCTCGGTCAGCACACCCTTGAGGTGTCCAAGCATACACGAGCGTGGTACGATGAAATATGATCTAGATTATCACACTATGGGTGAAGCGATAAAATGCACTGAGTGGGAACAGACAATCGTAAGTAGCTTGATCATAAACTCAAGGATTACCCTCCCCCCTCTAGAATCAATCTTGAGCTTTAATCATCGTATGATTAGGTGTTGAGAGTTTTATATGTAATAAAATAATCATCACACTTGAGGTGATGCAATTTTTGCCACATGTGCACATGACATCTAGCTTTTCTATAAAAATTGAATAGTCCCACATGTAGAAAGTAGATGAAAAATCCAATCGAAGTGGTGTCAAGAACTTTAATTTGCCATGAAATAAATCAGAACCATCACACTTTAGATAAAGTAATCTCAGCTATGCCTGAACACCTCATGTTAGATTTTCCATTAAAACATCCAATAGTCCCACATGTAGATTGTAGGTGGGGGACCTCAGATGTGACACGTAGGGGTGTTGGGGCGCTTGGTGAAGGCGGTGCAGTGGAAAATGATTGGGATCATCGCACAGTGGGGCCCACAGAGGAGGGATTGAGAGGGAGGCAACCAGCTTTAGCTAGCCTATTGGAAACATTTCATTTGGCAGGATCAGAGCCTAATTTACACTTTTATTGTAACATGTTATCACTGCTCAAGCTTAGATATCAAGAAAAAAGAAACAGGATTTTAAGAGAAACATATACATTTATCAGAGATATGAAATATGGTGAAGAGTATAACTGTATAAGTATGGGTCATGTGCCAACCACACTAGAAATAGAGTTTTAAAACCAAGCAAATCAAGAATGATTAATCAAATCAAATAAGATTAGTGCCCATTTTTTCTCTAGAATAGAAATTGTTTTTACTGATCAAATTGGAAGCCACAACAGAATCTGGTCGTTTAGAGGAAGATCTAAGGAAGATGTGGAGTTAGACTAAATTGGAAATCCGTGTAATTTTCTTTGAAATGTTTATGACAATGATCTTGATAAAGCATGAGAACCAGTATTTTGTACACTACTCCATAATGATCATGCTATCAGCTTGAAAACCACATGAGATAAAATGTTGAATTAGATGTCACTTTCAAGTTGAAATATTTCCATTTATGCCAAATTGTTGCTGTTTTAATGTTCTTAAAGGCCCACTGCACTACTTGTAGCTACTTGCGCCCTCTATATAACAAACAATGCCTAATCGGTGACTATTGGTCCTCCATGATCCTCTTTTTCTTATGTTATTTGAGAGCTGAGTTGATGAGATAACCACCTGTCCAGTGACCTTGCAGTGTGGTCTAATCATTCCTTTACACTAGTAATGACAGGCTTTAATATGATGAACATGATTAATAAAATGAAGGCTCATTGATTTTTGCATCCTTAAACTGATGAACCTGGAAATCTGGGAATTGCTAATCAGCGTTAGATATGAATGTACTGAAGCCAAGGAATAGTTTGAGTGTGGTCATAAGCTTTCAGGTTGTTAGAATCAGGAATTTGAAAGTCATATCAAATAGTTACTTTAAAACATGTCTCGATGATACATCGGTCACAGATGGGTATTTATTTATTTACATGTATCTGTTTATTCTTTCTTTAGCTATTTATATATTTATTTGTTTACTATTTACTTATATTTATATTTAAGATAGGTAAAACGTGTTTGTTAGGCCTGTGCATCTAATCAGGTGCTGTTTTTCATGTAGGGTCATTACAAAAATTTTGATGACCACCCCAAAAAAAATATGCCTACCTATTTTTCGAATTTGTATGTGGCAGAAATGTTATTTTATGAATGCACCATGACTTCATGAAAAAGATAATATGAAATTCTGCAACTTGCTAGAAAAGTAGCACCCCTTCCCTACTTTCCTAATAGACCCTTCACCGAGTTTGCCCTTTAGCACCTGCCATGGATATAAAATCCCATTTCCTACCTGCATTCTGCGTTTAACATCCCATTTCCCCCCTCTTTATTGGTCTTTTTGTACTTGTGGTTGACCGATCGATACAATAATGGCAAATTGGCAGCCCCTGTGGTCAAGCTGACCCTCCCTCCCCCTGACTGACTAGAGTAGACTGAAGAGGATGATTGGGAATTGGATAGGCTAGTTACTCCAAAACCTATATGCTTCAGGGGGAAAACCACTATAAATAGCATACAAATTTCAGAGGTGTAGCTGCAGGGGGGGGGGGGGGGGGGGGGGAGGTTGGGAGATGTGCCCCAAAAATTTGAAAGCAGAAAAAAGGGTGAAGAGAAATAGAGAGACAAAGAAAGGAAATGAAAGTGAAAAGATGAAGAAAACACCCCCCTCTCACACTATCGCATTAATTCATATTTCATCCTTCTAATGAGCCCACTGCTCCCCTATGATGCTAATGCACTCTCAATACAATGACCTGACACTGTGACAAAAACTAACTTAAAGTGAATATGTGACATTTACACATGTTCTCATATCTTTTTATAGACCACCCAAATGGGACTTTGAAGTCATTTTTAACTTTTCACTTTTCCAAATTTCTGGATAGGTCAAGAAACATAAAGCTGTCCCTGTATAGATTTTCCTCTATAACTTTGATGAAGGGAGAGGGGATAGAAATTATTCAACAAACCTTTCCGTCAGGTTACCAAAATTTGTACATGTACTGTACATACATGTACATGTATACATGTTAAAGAAGT